ACTGAAAGTAGGAGGAGCAAATGAAAAGTAATGCCTCCAATGTTATAGGTCACCAATAGATGGCAATAATGACATGTTAGAAGTTGTGACGTGTTCTTTAGCATCTGCTGTTTTCACTCGGTGGGAGGTTGCTGTGAGCAAAGGTTATCTTGCTATTTATTCATGAAATGGAATCTTGTATTAAATACTCAGTGTACTTTCATCATGATTGAATATTTGTCTGCTGAAAGAGCCCCTCCAATTCAAATTCATCAACAAGTGCAGATTGTTTATATTGATGACTGTCCTGACATGAGTACTGATAATTTGCCCTGGCTTTCAGGAAAGGGTGAATAGATTTCCCCAATTCATATTTATTATGTGCTATCTGGATTGCCATCTTATAATTATCTTGTATGGAAGGTATATTCTTTACTAAATTCTTAATAACTTGTTTTGTGTGTGTGTGTTTTAATTTTGTGATCTGCCCAGAGTCAATTGGAACTGTGTGGCATCAAAAATTGAATCAAATAAATGCATAAAGTGCATCATTGGGTCAAAGAATATACTGTAAATATGGTGAACTAGAAAGAGCTGATGTGCATATCATGCACAAAGTGGACAACTTGTGCCAATAACCAGTTTCAGATGAGAAAGTTTGATTAACTAATTAAGGACAATTGGCAGATCATTCAAAGGCTGTCAAACTTGACATTTCACAAGGAATGTGTGGGGTCCAATTATTGATGTTCTTCAAAATTAGAAAGTTTGAGCAAGGGAGGTTCCTCACAGGCTGATGGTTGAGAAAGCTTTAAGAGTTGAAATTTGCCAGCAGTTGTCATGCTACAAGAATGAAAGTGAGGAATTTCTTCACAGCTTGATATCTGACAAAACATGGGGCTCATTATTATGACCCAGAAATGAATCATCAATCTATACAATATATATTATCAGAAAATTTCACCTATGAAAAAAACCTTCAAAAGTCAAGATCTGGCAAATGGGGCTATTCACATGGAATTCCTTGAACCTACCACCACTATTAACTCATAGTGCTACATTGCAACATCCAAAGGTTTGAAACAGAATTTGGAAGCACACACAAAAATTTTTGCTGCAACATGACAATACTAGGCTTTACACTTCACCAGCCAAGATGCAATTGTGAAGTTGCATCTTATCATTTTATACCATCTGGCATACAGTCCAACATGGTGTCATACAACGTCTATCTTTTCCAAAAATTTAAGAAACACTTTTTGTGGGCATGTGGTGACTCAGAGAGGTTGAAGGATCTATCAGGATGTGGTGGAAGAGAAAACATGTCGAGTTCTTTCATGATGGCTTTACCAAGCTTGCTTATCAGGGGCAGCAATGATAGTAAACAGTGATGATTATGTGAAGAAGTTAATGTAAGGGCTCATTTCAGGGATTATTTCCATTTCATATATTACTATTTAAACTAAACTTATGTTATGGTGGTTAGAAGCATTACTTTTCATTTGACTCCTATTGCACTTACAACATGCCCTGATTATAATAGTACTAATTGTAGTGTGAATACAATGTATCCAAATGTGAAATATTGCACCACTTTGTGAAAACCAAGAAAGGAAGGGGAAGCTATGGGTTGTGCAAAAAAACAAACAAAAAACAAGCAAAAACCTCTCATAAACCTAGGTATGTAATATGGTTTTAATCTTCACTGGCTCCATCCACCCAGCACCACGTCTTAACTCATTATTTGTATAATGGGACAACATATATTTAGAAAGTACTGTGGAAGCAACACACAGAGAGCCTCGTCTATAAATAGCCACGTGCACAGAGATGTAAAGGTGATGCTGAAGCTGGGGAATCAAATAAAGCAGCCTTCTGCAGGATGCAAATTAACATTCTCGAGTCATACAACTTATGCTCCCCTTGCACCAGCCTTCTCTGCATCCTTCTCTTTTAGCGCTCCCACCTACAGAAGAATAATCCATCAGTTTAAAAAAAGAAAGAAAAAAAAGCTGGATGCACCAGGCACCATCCGGTAATTTCCCTTCAATAATAGATCACAAGAGGATTGGCTCAGTAGCCCTCTCCTACTCTTCCACCTCCTCATTTACTACACTTGCTCCATTTAGAAACCAAGTGTAAATTAATGGAGCACTAATCATGTGCAAAAAATATATTAATAGCCTGGATCCCCTCCCCATCCCCATCCACTTTTCCTCATTTTCCTCATACTGATCTAGGAAGGAAAAAAAAAACCTAGCCTGCACAATAAGGAATTAATAGGCTTATGAAGCCATTAAATAGAGTATCCCAGGTGCTCCTGTTAAAAGAGATGCATAACTAAGCTAGGAGTGAGCTATATATAGATAGATAAGGGAAATTCTTTTCTTTAAATTTGGCTGAGTGAATTTTTTTTTTTGCAAGAATTCCTAAAAACAGCTGGGTTTATACAGTGATATATATAAGCATGTAATTACACATACAGTGATAAAATTATAACACACTGTACATTCTCTTTCAAGACCATAACATCGAGAGGAATTAAACGAAAATTCCACCCAATCAGCTGAAGTCACACACGACAGCTGCAATCAAGTTTGAAATATCCAGACACAGAAATATTTTAACTTGGTACTCAAAAGTAGACATGGTTAGAGCAAGTCAGATTTGCCCTCAGAGGCATGATCTGAAGTCCAATCTCTATCAAGGAAATCTGTCCTCTATTCCTCTAACCAAAGGCATCACCTGATGTTTTTAACAAAGAAGGAAGTTGATATAAAGTTTTGAAATAAAGGAGCACAGACCAAAATGCAAAATTCATGTGGCAATACTGGATCCAAAATTATATCTTAGAATGTGTAGTTTCTTTACAAAGGACATGGAGCTCTGTTCAGAAAAAAGATGTACACCAAGACCCTTTTGAATTACTTTTTATATTCCCCTCCAGTTTTCTACACATCTCCCATGCCCTTGATGGAAATAGGCATCTCCACTCTATGAGATAACATGGGGGAGGGGAAAAAAAACCCTATGGAATATTTTACTACACAACTTCAGATGACTTTATCCCAGGGGTGAAATGCTACTGGTTCGCACCAGTTCGGGAGAACTGGTAGTAAAAAAAAGCTACTGGCTTGTCCAAACTGGTATTTCCAATGATCAGCTGTGCTGCGTGATTTATATTCGCTAGAAAGCAGGAAATCCGGCAAAACTATTCCCCCCCCTCGCTGTTCTACTTACCTTCAAACAGCTCCTTTTTCCATGTAAAGTGTGCATTTGGTGCGTTCTTGCATACACATGCGCAGCATGAATTTGATGCACACTGTGCATGCGTCTGCAGTGCATGCATGCGCAGCATGCATTTGGCATGCACTGTGCATATGTGCGCAGTGAACCAGTGGCAACCCGCTGAGGATTTCACCACTGCTTTACTCCGTATCTTCATAGATAAAGATTATGAATATAAGATAGACTCTTGCAGACACCAAAGATCTAAAACAATAGGTTGAACAAACATGTTGAACCTTCTTCCTGAAATTATTCCTGTGAATGAAGCTCCTATCTCCAACTCCCACATCTATCTGAGTAAGAAAATATGGTCAGCAATTCAAAACATATAAATAAACCAGACAGAACCAACACACTATAATTTATGCTTTCTTTCACCTCAGGAAGTTAAATATCAAACCCCAGCCTCACTGCACTTAAATGGATTTAAATACAAGTAGTCCTTGACTTATGACTACAATTGGGACTAGGATTTCCACTGTTAAACCAGGTGGTTGTTAAATGAGTTATACTTGATTTTACTACCTTTTTTTGCAATGATTGTTAAGTGAAGCACTGCAGATGTTTAGTGAATCACAAAGTTAAGGAAATCCAGCTTCCCCTTATTGATTTTGCTTATTGGAAGCAGTGGTGAAATGTAAAATTTGTTACTACCGGTTCTGTGGGTGTGGCTTGGTGGGGGGGGGTAATATGACTGAGTGGGCGTGGCCAACTTTTTTTTTTTAACTTTTAAAATCATTTTTTCTACAACCTCTTCGGCTAAAGAGGTTGTAAAAACAATGCTTTCAAAGCCTCTGACGATCCCAGCTGACTTGCCTGATTGGCAGAGGCTTTTTTTCCTTTTAAAAACATTTTTTCTATAACCTCTTTGGCTGAAGAGGTTGTAGAAAAAATGCATTTAAAAGCCTCTGATGATCCCAGCTGAGCCGCGCGATCATCAGAGGCTTTTTTTAAAAAACTTTTAAAAGCATTTTTTCGGCCAAAGAAGTTATAGAAAAAATGCTTTTAAAAATAATTTAAAAAAAGCCTCTGATGATTGCGTGGCTCAGCTGGGCAATGGGGGGGGGCAGTGATTTTTGCTACCAGTTCTCCGAACCACCTGCCTCCATCGCTACCAGATCGGGCGATCCGGTCTGAACCGGGAGCATTTCACCCCTGATTGGAAGCCATTTGGGAAGGTTGCAAATAGTGATCACATGACCTTGGTTGCTGCAACTGTCATAAATAGATGTCAGTTGCCAAGAGTCTGAATTTTGATAATGTGACCACAGGGATGCTGCAATGGTTGAAAATCTGAGAACCAGTCATAAGCAATTTTTTCAATGCCACTTTAACTTAAGCCAGGTATGGTCTTGTGACCTTTTACTTTACAACTGCACTGCTTAGCAACACAGTCGCTGGTCCCAAACTGCAATTGTTAAGTGAGGACTACTTGTATTTTTACTCTTAGCAGCTTTCCTGCAGGGGTAATCAGCAACTCGGAATGGCTGCTTAACTCAATCAAGATTAAAGTAAATACAGTTAACATGATTACTTCCCTTGTATTTAATAATTCTCTCTCCACTCCTGTCACATTTGAAATTACAATTTGATAGCAATTTTTGCATACACCCCAGGTTTTCAGGAGCTGAATGCACCCTGGGATCCCAGGTGACACACTTCTTAAAGGAAGGGGGAAACAGTGCTACACAGCGGGCTCCCCTCTGTAACGGGATCTCTTGATAATAGGGTACCTGAAAGAGCTCAGAGTCGTCTGTGCTGTACTGACTGGATTCTGTTTCAGAGTGCTCACACCACCACTGGAACTCGCTGAAGCAATTGGCTGAGTCAAAGTCACTGGTATCCAGCGGAGACAAATCAATCTCAGGGAAATCAGAGTAAAGGTGCTCCTCACCAGAGACTTCGTACTATGAAGGAAAGAATGGGGGTGGGGGGAGAGAGAGAATAATAGTGAGTTTTGCAATATATAGCGCCTGCCTACAGAATTCTTGATTACTTCATGGCAAATAATACACTTGAATTCGTGCAGCTGTGTGTGTGTGTGTGTGTGTGTGTGTGTATATATGTATGTATGTATGTATGTATATGTGTGTGTGTGTATATATATGTATGTATGTATGTATGTATATGTGTATGTATGTATATATATATATATATATATATATATGCATGCATGCATGCATGCATGCATGCATGCATATTCTTTCTAGCCAGGTTTTACCTATGTAAACTAAGTTGTTCTACAGCCCTGGTTCTGTGAAATCTCATTCACAAGTTTCTGGGCCTTTTTTCTGCTGACAAACTGCAACTCTGTGTTGCTCTCTGGGAGACTCAGATAGCTATTTCTGCCTATTAAGGCGTCATCAGTGAGCCACACCCACTTCTCAGATATCCTCTCTGTAAAGGTACAATGTGTCTTTTTTCCTTTTTCGTAGGAAAAAGGAAGAATATGCATATAAAAGCCTACGAAAAAGGAAAAAAGACACATTGTACCTTTACAGGGAGGATATCTGAGAAGTGGGTGTGGCTCACTGATGATGCCTTAATAGGCAGAAATAGCTATCTGAATCTCCCAGAGAGCAACACAGAGTTGCAGTTTGTCAGCAGAAAAAAGGCCCAGAAACTTGTGAATGAGATTTCACAGAACCAGGGCATATATATATATATATTATTTTAAATTTTAATTCCGGAGATTGTGATGTCTATCGCCTCTTCTATAACTATACCTGGAACTCGCATCTTTAGGACAATTCTTAATATATATATATACATATACATATACATATACATATACATATACATATACACATATACTCACTGTGCATGTGTGTGTGTATGTATCAGAGGTGGGTTTCAGCAGGTTCTGATCAGTTCTGGAGAACCAGTAGCAGAAATTTTGAGTAGTTTGGAGAACTGGTAGTAAAAATTCTGACTGGCCCCACCCTCATCTATTCTCTGCCTCCCAAGTCCCAACTAATCAGGAGGAAATGGGAATTTTGCAGTAACCTTCCCCTGCCATGCCTACCAAGCCACGCCCACCAAGCCACGTCACGCCCACCAAGCCACGCCCACAGAACCGGTAGTAAAATGACATCCCCTAATAATAAACCCAATCGGGCTTTTGAATGCATGGCAATAAGGCCAAGCGCTTATTTCAGGGTCTTATTTTTGGGGAAACATGGTACACAGACACACAGACACACACACACACACACACACACACTGTAAATGTTTTTGGGCGCTAAACTTACCACTCCTACCACTTCCATGAAAAGGAGTGCAAAAAGAACAAGCCTTCCCCAGAACAAAAGAAGCCTTTAAATAACTATAAGCTATTATTGACTCTTTCTCAAGTTCTGAAAATGTAGCTTTTCTGCATTTCCTTATTTAGGTATGTTTAACCTGCTCTCTGATGATGATGATTATAAATAGTTTAACAGCATGAAAATGTGATCAATAAAAATGTAAAAAATATAAACAGGCAATATCACACTAATCCCATAAGACTCCTGCTGGTGAGAAGCTACAAATGACAGCAAAGAAAAACAAAGGTATTTCTAAGCAAGCTTTAACCAGAGATGAGCAATTTGTGGTATGCAAACTTTCAAAGACCTTTTTTGCATTTGCCAACCATGCTGCTACCCTTTTGTCTAACTAGGCTGAGAAAGAGGATATGTGAGGATAAATGCCTTACTACAACCTTTGGATTTACAAAAGCTTGATCTTGTTATGAAACAGTGCATTTGGCCAATCCATGCTGCATATCATTTTCTCACTGCTAAAAGCAGTAGAGAAACCTTGTCTTAAAACTGCTGGATGAGAGAGGTATCATGTGCATATACAGAGTATATGTGGGGGAAAGTACAGTATTTATTCACACATATATAGCCTCCTTCTCACATCTTGATATCATACATGTTTCTTGGGACTGAAATGACAACATGCAGTAAGGCAAGGACAACATATAATAGTGCTGCTTTACGGAAACTGAATCACTTAGCTGCAATTAGAGCTTTTGAGAAATTGTCTATACTAGTGTTAGTTTTACTTTTCAGGCTGGAGGCAAGTAGATTATTTTCTACCTGTTATATCCGTAGGAGACACATATTGCTAATGCAATTGAGTAATTGAGAAACTCAGTGATTTTACAACTAAAAATAACAATAACATAAAATATACTCCAGGCATATTTTAATGCAAATTCATGATTAATGGGATAAAAAGAAAGAATTATCATTTTACAAAAAAAATCAAAACTCTTTTTTTCCCCCAGGTCACTTTGAATGCAAATTTAAATAGGGCAGCAGTGTGCTGAATTAGGGCATTGCTATGATTATTTTTTTTTAAAAAAACACCATGGGATTTCAGATTTTTTTACTATAATTATGTTTTCCGAGCTTATTTCCAGATTATTGGCATTTAAATACATGGGAAAATGTGACTACTATCTGATTATATTTATTCACTTTAAATACAAGTCTAACAAAAATTCTACAATAAACAAAATAAAATGCTTGCTACTAATATTCTCATTTAACTACTAGTATTTCCATTTGGGAATAATGCTGCAGACTTGGCCAATTTTCTCAAAATACATTAGTTTTGTATTTTCTACATTCACATGACTATAACATTATGTCAAAATTTAACAATTCTTTGTTCTTAGAAATACATTCCCACTGTTTCCTAGTCTCAGGAGGCCGAAACTTCCTGAAAATAGTTCTGATGGTTTCTTTTTTTTTTTTTTCAGGGAGGAAAAAACAAACAGAGGGAGGAATTATGGATGACAGATAGCATGACATTTTAAAGTCTATGCCTGCTCATGGAAACAAAGCCCCGTCCAATCACCTTTTAGCATAATCTTTGAAATTAAAAATGGCTTATTCCAATGTTATATTATGCATTAAGCAGAATTATATGTCCCTCCCCACAAAAAGAGTTACTCTTTAAGTGAAAAGAGAAATTGCAGTGTGGCAATAAAAGATTCTGATCCTCTTTTTCCTGAGATATTTTTCAACTGGATGTTATAAAAAAAATTGTGATTTAAGAGTTGGCCCCATTTTTTAAAAAATTCCTCTGCTTTCCCTCATCTTCTGTGTCATATCATTTTCAATGGTTAAGAATGTGGGCAGAAACAGCATTGATTTCATTGGCTGAATGTTAGATGCTTTGGATAGCTTTCAAGCTGAAAAGTAAGGAGGGGGGGGGAGATTTAATTAAATAACATAAATAATAAATAGGAAACTCTCTTGGCCACAAAGACATGTGTTAGAGTAGTCTTCCCCAAACTAATGTCTTCCAGATGTGTTGGACTAGAACTCTCAGTATAAACAACTAGGGAAAGTGAACTACTGCTCTAGAAAAACTAGAGTTCCAGCGCATTTTTGGCTTCTTAAGGGAAACAACTCCAAAAGCACAATATGACCCTAAAAGAATAATAAAAGTTACCATGGGTAAGATGAGTGGCCAATAAATTTTACAAACAAATAATATTACCACAACAGTGAGGAAAAAGGGAGAATTTTAGAGGGTCCTCCAGATAGTTACAGTAGTGCTTAAAAGTTGATAATCCCTTTTAATTTTTGATATTCCTGCATAAAGATGACCTAAAACATGATGTGTTTTCCACATAAGTTCTAAAAGTAGATAAAGAGAAACCAATTAAAGAAATGAGTCAAAGACATATTTGTTCAATTACTGAGGGAATGATTCAAAGCTACTAATTTGTTATTGTTGTTAGTTGCGAAGTCATGTCTGACCCATTGTGACCCCATGAATAACATTCCTCCAGGCCTTCCTGTCCTCTACCATCCTCTGGAGTCCATTTAAGCTCATGCCTACTGCTTCAGTGACTCCATCCAGCCACCTCATTCTCTGTCGTCCCCTTCTTTTGCCCTCAATCTCTCTCAGCATTAGGCTCTTCTCCAGTGAGTCCTACTAATACTTGTATGCAAAAAGTATGTGAACGTCTAAGGATCAGTAGTTCATTTGAAAGCTTAAATTGAGTTAGCTGTTTCAATCAAAGACATAATCAGGTGTGAATATGGGAGGTCCAACTCTATTTAGAGAGTTATTGATCTTCACAGCACAGGTATGAGGAACTGTGTCATGGCCCTGAACAAAGGAGATTCCTGAGAATTCTGAGAATAGTTGTTGATATTCACCAGGCTGGAAAAGGTCACAAAACTATTTCCAAAGAATTTGGTCTCCACCAGTTCACTGCCAGGCAAATCATGCACAAATGGAGGCATTTCAACATGACTGTTATCCTCTCCTGGAATGGTTGACCAACCAAAATTATACCAAGGCTATACACCAGGAAGTCTCCCTGAACTCCAGGGTAGCATCTAAGGAACTAAAGGCCTCTATTGCATTGGCGATTGTCAGGGTTAACCACATGGCTATGCCAGAAGGCTACTGGAAGAATAGAAAATGTAACTTTTTAACTTGAATGAAAAATGTTGCATTGATGAAAGATAATCACTGCATTAAACCATAAGACCTTATCCAGTCTGTGAACATGATGGTGGCAGTATCATGGTTTGGGCCTGATTTGCTGTTTCTGCACCAGGATGCCTTGCCATCATTGGTGGAACTATGAATTCTGAATGGTACTAGCAAATCCAAAGACATGTATGTTTTTATGAATGGTAGCTCAAGAGCAAGTGGCTCATACAGCAAGGCAACGACCAATAAGATCCAAGTTGCATGACCAAAAAATGGCCAAAGCAGAAGAAAATTAATATTTTGGAATGGCAAAGTCAAAGTCCTATAAAAATTTTATGGAAGATCCTGAAGTGGGCAGCTCAAACAATGAAACATATCAATGTCTCTGAGTTAAAGTTGCTCTGTAACGAGGAATGGGCTAAAATTCTCAAGCTTATATGCAGGACTGATTAACAGTTAT